TATGTTGCAGAGTTTTCATACGAAGAGTAAGGTGCGCTCGGTCGTTGTCGTGCACTCAGCTATGTCGTTGGAGTTGACGGACTCATTTATCTTTGAAGCTTCCGCTGTTATCTTAATTAGATGGCCTTCAGCCATATTATTGTAATAAGTTCTCTTTTGAGAGATTCGATGTAACAAGTGTGTGATTGAACTATGTTATAAATCCTCGAGTATATGTGTGAGCATTATCGATCCAGGGATGGCACTTATACACAGAGATTTGACCGTTTGAGGTCAGATCGCTACATACCTTTTTGCCCGGTAGTTGCAATGGTCTTCTAGTTGTACAATGAAGATCCCGTGTCGATCATCTTCCAGCACATTGCCTATTGCTGCTAGTTTGGTAGTTGAAATGGTACTCATGTAGCTGTTATGGACCGACTGGCTATTTGAACTCTGGGAATGATCTTTTGGGTGAAATTAATGCTTCAGCTACCACAAGCACAAGTCTGTTTTTTCTCTTGTAAGTTTTCTTCAATTCTGAATCAAAATTCAACCAAGTGGGCATACATTTTTGGTCCAAAAACTATAATCACGCCCGTTCTTGGAATTTTTCAATCTCTTTCTAAAAAAATCCTATCCTAAATAATCCCCAAATAGGGTCCATGTTTGAATTGTGAGATCTGTCATCTCAAGAATATCATAGTCTTTGTTGAAATACATGTTTGCTCCATGATGTAACATGACTCCTCTAGAGTCATGACCGTGCATCTTGCTGAGTGAACATGTGAGTGGAAATATTCGAAACACAAATGCATGACCTCTGTTCCATATGGAGCCATGCCTCTCCTAGAGTTACAACCATACCTCCCGACAAATATATGGCACTTGAATAAATTTTGAATGACAAAGACACAACCGTGCATCTTTTTCGTATGCAAGGCGCCTCTCGTAGCTGTAAAGTTGTGCTTCTCTGAGTGAATGTGTAACTACAGAACATTTCAAACACAGTAGCAACATTTGAAATGCAAAGGCACGGCCATGACACTTCTTAATATAGCAGCGTGACTCCAATAACTTCACAACAGTGCCTCTTTGAGTAAACATGTTAGTGGAAAATACTTGAAACATAAACACATGATTGTGACTCTGTTGCATGTCCAACCATGTGCCTCGACTAGCTTCACGCCTGTGCCTCTCTCAATAAACATGTTAACGGTAAAATATTTAGAACAAAGACGCACAATCGTCACTCTCATGCATGTACAACAATGCCTAGACTAGGTCCACGAACATGCCTCTATGAGTAAATGTGTCTCTACTTAATATAATACAGTGCCATGGCTAACTTGACGATCATGCCTCACTGGCTAAACGTGTCAGCACAAACATTTGGAACAAAGAGGCACGCCCATGACTTTGTTGCATATACAACCGTGCCTTGAGTAGCTTCACGATCGTGCCTCTCTCAGTAAACATCTTAGCGTAAATTTTTTGGAACATAGACGCATGATTGTGCCTCTACTTCCGATAAAACCATGTATCTCATAACGACATTTCCGTGCCTCTCGCCATGCGAACGTGTAATTAGAAACACTACAAACATAGATGAACAACCGTGCCTTTTCTCAATATGGAATCATGCATCTCCTGAAGTCAAGGCCGTGCCTCCCTAGTAATACATGTCCTTTGGAGACATTTGAAAGACAAAGGCAATGTCTGTGCCTATCTCCATATGGAAGCGTGCCTCCCATAGCTTTAAGGCTATGCCTCGCTAAGTGAATGTGTAACCGGAAAACATTTAAAATACAGGGGCATGGGTGTGGGTGTGCTCCATGTGCTTATACATTTCAAACACAAAATGCACGGTCGTGCCTCTAGTACCTTAACAGTGATGCCTCTCTGAGTGTACATGCCACTGTATACATTTCGAACACAAAAGCACGTCTGTGCCTCTACTTTATGAATAACCATGCTTCTAGTATCTTCATGACCCTGCTTCTTCGAGTATACGTATCAATGGAAACATTTGAAACAAACAAACACGGCTATTCCACTAATTTATGCATAATCGTATCTCCACTAGCTGCACGACCGTGTCTCTCCGAGTGTCCATGTCGGGGGAAACATGGACAACACAAAGGCACACACATGCCTCTGATTTATGTATAACCATACCTCTCGTAGATTGATATCTGTCCCAAAAAACATTTAAAACACAAATGCATAGTCGTGCCTCTTCTACGTGCGTAGAACAACGATGAATAATTGGGTTCATATTAGTTTTATATATCTAAATAACACTATATTCTACCATATATTTTAAATAATGTCTGGATACCACTATAAGCTACATAACTGTTCCACTTCACAGTCTATAAGTAACATCACCGTGGCAGAAGGCTGAAGATAACAACAAGATTCCAATCACGCTCTTTCTAGGTTATAAGCACCAAGCTAGTTACTTCCATAGACAATGCTTGAAGAAAATCACTGAAACCTTCCTTCTTGAACACCATTCTACCACCCAAGCCAATGCAATATGAACAAGGAGTGCTCACATATATATCATCATCGCGATAATCCAAAGTAACTTCAAGAGTTAAAAAGCCAGACCTAGAAACTGACACCAATTTCTTCAAACTCCTCACAACCATGCTCGGAATAACCTAACAAAAACACTAAATTATTAGAATTAACAAACTAAAAGGCTATAAAAGAGCAAATAATAAATAATAAATAAATAGAAAAATAAAAAACACAGGAAAAAATCTGACCATATGATGACCATTAACATTCATGGAAGTAATCCTATGAACGAGAGGAAAAGAGTATATAGTTGTCATCAAAGAGTTGTCGTGAAATACAACTGCTAATAATTCAGATTGACATCACAAGTATAAAAACAAGTGCCAGCATGTTCCCTCTCATATTCACTCAGACCCTCGAGTACTAAAAAAATAAATTTAATAGGTTCAAGGGAACGGCAAAACATGTCAGGAGAAACAAGGTAAAAATTTCCTTAAAAATAAACCTTACCAACAAAGGGTAGAGGGAACAACATATCTCCACCTCGATAAAAATAAACACCAATCAACGTTCCACAGTGCTCGAGCCTAACAGTCATTATGTCATGATGATCGAGACCATAATCAGTCACCAGTCCCTCCCAGGAAGGACCATGGAATTTGCTGCTCATCCGACCATGACTAAACAGAACATCATATAATTCTCATATAATTCGCCCTCACTGGTGTGAAGAGCAAACTCGGTATCTTTGTCACCCCTCCGAATGGCTAAAGCCCTTTATTGCTCAGTGTGCTGAGCAAGATGAGCTCTAACACTGCACGGAACATACCGCAAAAAGAATCAAAACAACCATCATATTCAAATAAGACAAGACATAAAATACCTTCCATTGAAAACACCACCACCAACACTAAAAGAAATAACCATGTGCGCCACCTCAATTTTTAACACCAAAGCATGAACAAATAAAAAATGTTAATCTTACAGCACGCCTCGAACAGGGCCTATCCAGCACCACGGTGAACACATCTGTAGAAGAGACAAAAGAGGAACAAAGGCCACTTGGCATACAGCAAAAAGGGCAAGCCATACATGCAAAGAACACAATGATTACTAAGAATTGATTGCAGAACCGAGTTGAAAGTTGACATTTGATAGCGTTGGAAGCTTTCACCCATAATCACCCCATAAATCTCCATTGCCCGGAAATATAATGGAAAAAATAAAGGAAAACAAACAAGAACTAGGGAATCAACGGAGAACACAATTACCGTCGGCAAACAAGGGCCGCCATAGCCAGGCGATAGCATAATTAGATCGGTAGACGTATGTATCGGGTATCGGGTTGCTGCCAAGGGACTGGATCATCAAATCGATGACACTGAGAACCTTGCCGTCGTGGGTGGTGGCGCGAAGAGAGTCAGCCTGGGCGCGGAGGGAGATAGCCTAGGCATGGTACACGGCGGCCTCGTCATAGTAGGAGTCGACGTTGTCGCGGGCGGCGCGGATGGCTCGGATGGAGAAGGAGGAAGAGCTCCGCTTGGTCGAGGAGAACGTCGCAGCCGCGATCCTCGGGTGGATGACAGTGGAGGCGCGGCGGCCGGCGGCTAGCGGCGGGGACGACGACGGGGGCGAGGATAGCGACGCCGGACAAAAAAGGAAATAGAGCAAAAAGGCTAGACGTCGGCGTCGGGGATGGCACCACAAGAGAGAAACATATCAAAATTATAATAGAAACCTTAAATGTTTAAAGACTAACGTGAAAACAGAGAAAACTAGGAAACGAAAATCGAAAACCAGAAAACACGGGAAAGCTCCTCCACACGACAAGTGTCACGCGCAGAGCAATCCGGAAAAGTCTACCGAACGCCCAGAACGCAACGCTTGTCAGGCATGGAGTACCCCCGACTGATCTTTGCAGGGTTACTCCTCAACCATTGATTTCGGTGGAATAAAGGATGAAAGGAGGCCTCCGGTGGCACACGAGCACAACAAATTCCGTAGGCTCTCTCACTGGGCTGTATCCCTCGGCCCACTTGGCGCAACAGCTCGGATGATCGAAAGATCTCGGCCGTCCAAGCTAGGGATCGCTTATAAACACCCAACCCTAGCCTAAACCCCCGCTCCCCTCCCGCCGCATCCTCTTCGTCCTCCCCTCCGCCGCAGTGCAGGTTCGTTCCGTTCGCTCTGTCGCTCGCGTCATCTCACCTTCCCCGTCCTGTGGAAGTCATCTCCTGTATCCCGGTGAATAGATCTTGCCCGGATTCCATGTCGCTCTGGTTCTTCGCGCGGTAGCAGTAGGTTCCTGATTTCCTCACGGATGCGTAGTGTTAGTTTATGATCCGCCACGCGTTCATGATCTTGCTTGTTAGCATGCGCACTCATGCCGTATTGCTCAGTAGTTTGGAGAGGTGACAACTTGTTGGGATCGTTTAGCTCGCGTGTTTACGTTGGTGTGGTGGATCGTGTGCAGGTAAGAAGAAGGGGTCGAAATGGTGAAGCACAACAATGTTATCCCTAACGGCCACTTCAAGAAGCATTGGCAGAACTATGTCAAGACCTGGTTCAACCAGCCTGCCCGCAAGCAGAGGCGCCGCATTGGTGAGCAACCCTGCTATTACATTGTTGCGTGTTTATCAGTCACACACTTGTAACTGTACATGTCATGCATCACGCGACGGTTATTGCAGTGATAATTAAGTGCTTAAATTCTGGTTAGTTAATTTATTACCCCTGCTAGAGTGATAGACAGCTATATGTGGTTGATTTTATCCCATATTGCGTGATCACATTGGCTCTCTGTCCTTCATCACCACCATTTGTATACACGTTTAACAGTGCATATTTGCTAGTAATCTAATAGAAATGAATGTTGTCCTTGGAAGTTATACCTGTGCTGAGTGTTCTGTTGAAAGTATTCTTGCTTATTTAGGCACCTCAATTATCTCCCGGCAGTATTCCTCGCCAGCTCAATCAATTGTTTCCAGCAAACCTACCCTGAACTTTTGTACACAAACCCAACACAACTGTTAGATATATCTGTTCAATACCATTTCTGTATTGATTTCTTTAGAATTTTGGTGTACCTCTGACTCCATGCATGGAGTGGTATGACTCAGCATGTCTTAATATGCACACACTTGATCTTTAACATGTGATGATATGCCTGTGATGCTGCTCAGCAACACTAGCCAGCTACCAACTTTTGGGGGGCTTGTGTTTTTGCTGCCTGACTAATTTTGAATAACCAACGTACAATTTGTATTTGTTCAGCTCGTCAAAAGAAGGCTGTGAAGATCTTCCCTCGCCCTACATCTGGTCCTCTTCGTCCCATTGTGCAATGCCAGACTCGGAAGTACAACATGAAGGCAAGGGCTGGGAGAGGCTTTACTCTTGAGGAGCTGAAGGTGACTTGTTTCTTCTATACCGTAAAAATCCTTTAAATCATGTCACTTTCTCTGGTTTGCCTTTTTTTATTAAATGCGGGAGAAAAATCAATATACCCCTTGTTCAGTAAATATGTGTGGTTTTGTTTCTGCATCAGTTGCTGTCATGCGTGTTTCTGGTAAATTGTCCTTATATTCGGCATTTGTTTTTTGTTATTAGTAAGTACTCATATTAGCAATAGTTTATTGTTCTTCCCTTTCTATAAGTGATGAACTGATGTTTGGCATGCAGACTCATATGTTAGCTTGCCGTGCCTTTAGTGTATCCTCCTTGCAATCCGATTATTCTGTCCAGATGCTGCTGTCATTTCTCATGTACTCCCTCCGTCCCAAAATTCTTGTCTTAGATTCGTCTAGATACGGATGTATTTAATACTAAAACGTGGCTTGAAACATCCATATTTAGACAAATCTAAGACAAGAATTTTGGGACAGAGGGAGTATTATGTATCGTACTGTATCTTTCTGCTAATGTTAATTTATGCTGTAATTTGCAGTCAGCGGGCATCCCGAAGAAGCTAGCTCCTACTATTGGCATTTCTGTGGACCACCGACGTAAAAACCGGTCACTTGAGGGTATGCAGTCAAACATTCAGCGACTCAAGACTTACAAGGCCAAGCTGGTTATCTTCCCAAGGTGTGCTCACAAGGTTAAGGTATGACTGGAGTTTATTGTTTGTGTACACCATTTTATATTTTCTTATGTATTCTTCTGTTCATGACCATTATGCTCTTGTCTTAGGCTGGTGATTCTACCCCTGAGGAACTTGCCACAGCCACCCAGGTCCAGGGTGACTACTTGCCTATTACTCGTGGTGAGAAGCGCTCGGTTGAGATCATGAAGGTCACTGAGGAGATGAAGGCGTTCAAGGCCTACGGCAAGCTCCGTGTCGAGAGGATGAACCAGCACCAGCTCGGTGCCCGCACGAAGAAGGCTGCCGAGGCAGAGAAGGAAGAAAAGAAGTGATAAGATATTTTGTTTCATTCTGCAGCTAGTGAATGTTATCATTGGGAACTTGTTCTAAATTTTGTTTTGGGGCTGGAAATAGAGACCACCGGATGGCTTTGATACCTGCTACTTGTTTGCATGATATGCTGTTCAGTGTTCCCCTCGTTGGCGTAATTTGTGGAGGTCAAGCAGTATTATTCTCTGATTTATACCCAAAATGCACTGGTCAAGCTATGACTGTTGCATTTCGTAAATTTTTTGGTGGAAGACTGACGGTTTGAATTAAGAGCAAGTTGCCATTTGGACCGGACATGGAGTATCTACACTCAGCTCAAAACTCTTGTGAACAGTAAAATGAAAAGAAGTAGTAAAATAGTCCAAAATTTCTGATTTTCTTGACGACAAACTATGCTGAATTATCTTCTTGTGTCCAAATTTTGGTGATGAAATAACATTCGTGGACATCTGGGCAAAAATAACAAAATCAACACTCCAAAACTAGTCTTTTTGGATTATCGGTTTTGTTATTTTAGCCTAGATCTCCATGAATGTGATTTCATCTGGACAAAAATAACAAAATCAACACTCCAAACCTAGTCTTTTTGGATTATCGGTTTTGTTATTTTAGCCTAGATCTCCATGAATGTGAATGTGATTTCATCACGACAATTTGCATGCAGAAAACTACTCCCTCCGTTTCATATTAGTTGTCTCTGAAATGGTTGTATCTAGATGTATTTCAGTGCTAGATACATCCGTTTGAGCGACGACTAATATGGAACGGAGGGAGTAGCAGTGTTTGTCGTAAAAGCAAAAGTAATCTGTTTTTTGTTTTGTTTTTCTTCTTCGGTTTTTGTTGGCATTGGATGCTATACAAAGAAAACAAATTTCAGTAGCAATAATCTTCCTGGTCTGGCATTCTACATTGCGCCCGCTAGTGTCTGCCTGGCTTTGGTCGTCATGGCTCATGTCATCCGAACCTCACGAGGTGAAGCTTGCATAGAAATCTCCGCTCCTCGGGAGCCAGCCTGAGGAGGCCGTCCCTCGTGGAGGTCTTGGTGTTGTCCGCCTCGCGAGGCTTGGCCCCTCACGAGGATCTTGGGTTGTTGATGCTGAAGCTGGGCCGTAGTAGGCCGCTGATGAGCCACGACGTGGGTCGCAGGTAGGCAAGTCTGGGTACCCTCATTTCCAGAACGCCGACAGTAGCCCCGGGGCCCAAGGCACGCTCGAATTTGGCTTCAAGGTGAAGCCAAGGGACAAGTGCGGAGCGCCGCGGGCCCTAACCGCCTGCGGCCTTGGTTGACGCGCGGCGATTGATGGTACGTGGGCATCTCCGCTCCCGCGCGCGGCCTCGGCAACTGTTTCAGGCTGAAAAAAAGGCTGGTGCTTGGTGCGGAGCCTTCATTGCCTTTCCTTCGTCTTGCTCCAGATCCCTTTCTTCCTCTGCTCCAAGCGCCTCCAGATCCGCTGAATCGTTTCCATGAACTTGCCGTCGATGGCCACCGACAAGGAGAAACCTTCGGCTTCAGCTTCGCGCCCGGCTTCTTGGTTCGAGCCGGCCCTGAGCGCGTCCACCATCGCAGAAGAGAAGCACCTTGCCGCCTGCTCCTGCTGACGGCGGGCGACGCCAATGAGGGGGGAGAGATGGCGCTCCGAGTCGGCTCCGCCAAGCCGGAAACCTTGGGTGACACCTTCTACCCCTTCTTCCTGCACATCGTCCTTGCTGGGTTGGTTCCCCCTCTCTAGTTTTTTCTACGCCATCCTCCGCCATTACGGGCTCCACGCCCTCCATCTTCATCCCAACTCGATCCTCCTCCTGTCGATCTTCGCCTTCTTCTGTGAGGCATTCGTGGAGGTGATGCCCTCCGTCGCGCTGTTCCGCCATTTCTTCTACCTCCGGATAAGCAGCGGCCAGTGCTTGGGGTGTGCCAACTTCATCGCGGCCAACGGCAGCAACGCGATTTCTCCAGCCGGGAAGAAGGTGGAGGTCTTCGAAAACAAGTGGATCTTCATGGACGCCAAGCGCACCCACGCCCGGCTGGAGCTACCGACCGCGCTGCTAATGCCTCTGGAAGGATGGGCCCACGAGAAGCTCACCGACCACCGGACAGAGCTGTTGCTGGAGAAGATGAAGGCTGACCTGAAGGCGGAGAAGCTGACAGGGGCCATGATCGTCAAGGAGTTCCTGACGCAGCGCCTGGCTCCGCTCAAGGCGCACTCGCGCCCCCCTGTGGAAATTCAAGGGCGCGGAAGACGACCTCCGGTTGCGCCCGGACAACCTGCCTGACGAGGAGCTGAGCAAGGTCGTGCGCACCTTGCTTGGGAAGGACCAGGGTTGCCCCCAGACTCCCATCTCCTACTGTACCGCCGCACTGATGGAGAGAAGGTGGCCGCGGCCATGCCCACCTCCAAAGAGCGTGGGCTTGTGCCGCTGAAGCCTTCTCTGCCCCCCGGCTCCCCGGTGCCATTGTACTCCGGCGAGCCCGAGGAGGAGGCGAGGTCGGACTCAGAGGTGACCCTAGAGGAGGGGGGAGACTTCTCCCCCGCGGCAGACAGATCTTCACCGCAGCCTTTTTGATGACGACGATGTCGTCAAGCACCCAGTCAGGGAGTCGTCGCTCTCCACTGGGGTAACGACGAGGTTCGGGGCACCCCTCGGAAGAGGCTGGGGCAGGGGATCCCGAAGAGGGATAGGTCGGCGCTGATTCCTCCGGGCAGTGGCTCCACTTCGCCGCGGGCCACCACCGCCACAGAGCCGTCCGCGTGCTCGTGCGCCCCTCAGAGCGCGATGACGCCCATGCGCGGGAAGCTTGCACTCCTGAGCAAGAAGAGGGAGTATACCGCCGAGGATCAGTAAGTGTATCTCCTTGCCCTTGCTCTTTGATCTTGACGCAGTACTCAATGTCTCCATCTTGATGCCAGGCTAATGTCGGTGGCGAAGAGGAAGAAAGAGGATGCCGGGGCCGCCAAGGCCAAGCGACCTGTCATGGTCGCCACGACTCTGGCGCGGAAGGACGAGGCTGCCTCCCATGCCCCTACGCGCGAGGTCATCCTCCCGAGGATCTGGAGCCCAGCCTCAGGAGAAGATGGTCCTTGTGGCTGAGGTGACTCCGGAGGCGCTCGCCCTCGCGCCTGCTGAGGACCCGAGGGCTCCGGAGCCCCCTGCCCTCTCTGCTGCTGCTGCTTTGCCAACCCTGACATCGGCGCCGTCTCCTCCCCCAGCCATCATGCCGACGGGCCATGGTTCTTCCACCATGCCTGGTGCTCTAGAGCAGGCCTTCTCCATGCTATACCAGGTTCAGGACGATCTTGAGGGCCCTGACCGGCACAGGGCATCGGGGCGCCTGGAGTTGGTCTTGGGGTGGCTTTAGGCCGACTCAGCCATCACGGCAATGGCGGCGACGTCATCGATGACGGGGCTCCCCAAGCGGGCGATGGCGGCACCCAAGACTGAAGAAGAAGCTTAATGACTGCGCTCCCCTATGTTTAAGTCCTACAACATGTACCGTGCCTCATGGAGGCATAAGAACTTGTGCTTGGTACGCTTAAGAAACAGTATGTTTTTGTAATAATTTGCTAGGGTTCTGCAATCTCCTTTCCATTTGCTTTAGCGTTCTGCATCAGCAGGGCCCGACCCCGCGCATACCTCAGCCGCCGTTGGATCATCCGGATCACCAGGACGAGACCAAGGGGTGAGGGGCTACGTGACCAGTTAGGCTCCTGAGTCGCGATGCTCAGCAGTCCCCCTTGACGTGCAAACAACCCTCGGGAAGGAGATGCGAGAGTAGGCCTTAGCGTTCTACGTTGGCAGGGCCCGGCCCCACTCATACCTTAGCCGTCGTTGGGGCATCCAGATCACTAGGACGAGACCAATGGGTGAGGGGTTACGTGACCAGTTAGGTTCCTGAGTCACGATGCTCAGGAGTCCCCCTTGATGTACGAACAAACCTCCATACCTTTCCTCGCCGGGCTCTCGCTCAGGAGGGGTGCGCGAACACCAGATCCGAGGGACCTGGCGAGGTGGCATACGCCAGGCGTGACCTGAGCATAGCCCCTATGCCTAGCCCCCTCGCGCAACTCTCCCGAGGGGAAAGGAGCGCTGTGAGGCTGAGCACTGAGCCTGGTGGCTCCCTGAGGTTAATGCAGCCGTGAGGCCACCCTCAGTTGTTTATCACCAGCGTGGAGCATGGCGCTTCCGCTCTTGCACGGGCATAGCCACTCCTCGACCGTGTCGACTGCCAGCGCGAAGCATGGTGCTTCCACTGGTACGTGGGTGCTAGCCCCCCCCCTTTAAGAAGAGGCTCTAGGGCGTGTACAGCCCCGCCCTGACATGTGGCTTGCACGACAGGGCTAAAGGAGGTGTGTATGAGCACTCGTGAGCTAGCGCGAGACTCACGAGGCCCTACGTCAAGGTGGGTTGCGCCTGAATTTGATTCAGAACACTTGTGATAGTCCTGCGAGATGGTCAGACAACCTGCACCGTGTGAATCTCCTGAGGTTATCGCATGAGAAGGCCAAACACCAACGACCCCAGGAGGTGACGTGAACAGGGCCGACCCGCCAGACAGAGCTCAGTCGTTGGGTTTATCGATGCTGCAGGGACGGACCCAAGCACAGACGTCATGCCCAGTCTTCTCATGCGAAGGTCTTGAAGAGAGACAACCGACATGCGGATCCTGTAGCGACGAGGCACAGGGTCTCGCGCCCTCACTCATCTGCCCGTGATTAGCTCATGCGAGAACAAGGCACCAAGGACCATGGACGGTGACGTGCACGAGAGCTGGCCCGCGAGCCAGAGCTTAGCCACTTGGGTTTAGCAACGCTGCAGGGACGAACCCGAGCATAGACGCGGTGCTAGTCCTTAATCATGAGGCGGTCGTGGGTGGGCTTGCAAGGGCGTACAACGTTCATGGCGACAAAGCACCGGACAGGCAGGTGATAATCATAAAGCAGCTAATGATCAAAGATAAAGCCAATTCTGAGAGATGCAAGAAGGATACATGCCGCAGGGATGGACC